GCTATCAGCCCCGGGACCGTGGATGTGTTTGGCACTGCCACTTCTCCGAGTGAGTTTGCCGTGTGGGTTCCGAAACGGATGTCGATGTGCCTCACTCATGCGTCGATCATCTAGCGAGCGCGGAGGAGTCTACTGACCTCAAGCGGGTTGTGGACACTATGCGGAAGAACGTTCCCAGTTACTCTGGCACGCTACTTTCGCCGGAGCAATCAGTCAGAAAGGTGCTGGAAATTGTAGACTCGCTGGGACCTTTCACTCTGTGAGGGGTTGACGTGGGGTTAGTCCTCGTGCTCGGAATATATTGACGGCGGCTCACCTTTGCGGTTATCTTGGTGATGGGCTCTCGCAGCCGGTTGAAATTCGAGCGGAGTGATTAGTACGACAGTCTCACTCTTACTGCACACGCGGGAGATCGACCTAACAATGCAACTTCTTGTAATCGATGTCACGAAGGAATCACTCCAGAGCCGCTTGGGGCGCAAGCAGCGTGCGTGCCTCCGGATCAGCCGCACAGTGTCGAACCCAGGGTTAGTCGGCACCAATCCTTTCAAACGGATGCGGCTCACTGTGTGTGCCAGAAACACCCACTCAGTTCTGGCTCACGGCTACGACCGTGAAACCTATATGCATCATGGCAAACGGTATGTAGAGCGATGCGCACCACATCGATACACTGATACAAGGTACATCATGGTACACTAGTACAGCGCAATGTGCAGGAACGAAAGGGAAGATATGTGAAAGCACAGAAAGGCGTATTGGAGGAGGTCGAAGGCATGGTAGTGGACATGGTCAAAGAGAAATGGGGTCTTGGGAACGCGAGAACGGCCGGACCATTTATGCGAACAAAACAAGGATCTCGACGTGTAAAGAACATGATAGAGCGCGATACCGAGAGCTAGCTAGAAAACATGGGCACAGGGGGGACAGACGAGCGTATCGAAACGTGCTGAGTGCGATGCGAATATGAGACCACCGAAATCAAGTTTGAAATGAAGAGCTAGGGGCATCGTAGAGCACGAGAACGAATCGAGCAGCTAAAGAAATAAGCAAAACAAGACGACGGGAGATACATATATGTCTGTAGCTTCACCACGCGGTCACCAAGGTTTTGATAGTCAGTCTTGATGGACACTGGCAGCGGTGCAAAGATGTCTGCACATGCGATCTTGTCAGTATGAGTCACTTCAATACTCGTGTCGCACATACCGCCTAAGCAACTAGGACCCTATGCCTCCCATTCCCATGAAATCACCATCCATGAGAGGGTCTTGGAATACGTTATGAACATACGATTCACCGAGCAAAGGTGCGAGGATCGAATCGTTCTGGGGCGACCGATCAACGCTCTCTACAGCGAGATCATCGCCATATCCGGCAAAGTACGTTGTAGAGGTATCGAAAGACAAGATGGGTGCTTGGAACAGAAATGGCATGGCAGGCGCATCGGGTGAGCTGTATGGAGGCGACGAGTTCGCTACGACCGGTTCGTGTGACGTCGATTCGGTGGCTTGGAGGAAACTCCTCTCCGCGGGCCTGGATCCTGCACGCGGCGTATATGCTACGAAATCGCCGATAATCTCGAAGTCCATATCGTCGAATTCACTCTTGCAACGAGGGGGGCGCTGCGGATAGTTCCCATGTTCGTCTGGCAGCTGGAGCCAAATCCACATGTCGAGGGGGAAGGAACCGAATGCCTTCTCCCTTGCCAGATCAGTCTCCGTGTAGCCGAGGCGCGTAGCCACGCCGTCGACGATACCAAATCGTTCTTTGAACTGGCGCAGCCACGTTCGTCCGCAGCGGAACTGATATATGCAGCCTTCCCCTCTCATACCCAGTTTTTCTGCCATCAGTATGGCCTGCTCCCTGATCATTTTGTCGCTGAGAATGGTGTGATCTTCCCTACATCCCATCAACCAAGGCTTCAAGTGATTCTCGATTAACCAAAATTTACGCAGTCTGTGCAAGATATTTAGCGAGGCCGATGGCTCAACAACACGAACAACCGCACCCTTTTCGCGCGAACCGCGAACCGTCTGCATGCTTGGACATGAGCCATTCGTCTCGGTCCTTCAGGATGCGAGTGACCATGGATTTACTGATTCCGAACCGATCCGCAACTCGTTGATGCGTTATGCCAGGATGTGCCACATACATCTCGCAGACGGCCTTCTTGTCAGATGCATAGAAAGTCCTCCGGGTGACAGTCGTCGAATCAGATGGTTTATCGCGCATTGCTTCTGCTTCCGTTTTCTCCGACGAGGAATTGAGGACGTCGACATCCGTATGGTCGTGCGAGATCTTCGAGGCGAAGCCTGGCATTAGAGTCTCCTGCGGGCTGTAGCATGGCAACACGTCGATAGGGAGAAAAGAGATCGGCCAATTCATGAGACGTACACTATGCGATTGACCATCCATTGGCGCAATCATCCAATCTGTTGCGCAGACGTCAATGGAGCGCTGCGGCACCCTAAAGACCTGCGAAGGTTATGCGGCGGCGTGCGTATGACATGGCTGGCAGGCGGTAATAATTACGACTTCGACAACAGCCCAGGTCCGAGCAGGTGCACGCAGTCTTGATGCTGCGCGGACTCAGGCAAACTTACCACTGGCAGTACTTGGCAGAGTCTGAGAGGCTCGGAGGCTGATGAATTTATGCATCGTGGATGGGACACGATCACGTGCTCTCATATAGCATCTCTGCACGACGCAATGCGCATGCTCGATACCTTCAGAATTTCCTCGCCTCTTCATGCATATGTACTTCCTTGTTGCAATCAAGATGTTGTGTCTAGGCCCGTTATTACGTGACGCGATGATTCTCCCAGCAAGTGAAGTTAGGGTATAAGTTTTCCTGATAAGTATAGGAAGTATACGCGACGTAGCATTGATCGATGTACGGTGGCTACCACTTTAGCGGAGAAGAGAACGTAATCGTGGACAGGAGACAACAGGCTTAACACAACGTTCAACGGTTGTAGGTGTGAGAAGACCCCAGCGGGTCCGGACTCGGATGTAAGTTACGCGTTGTGCGCGGACTCGGATGTGGCGCGCTGACCGGCCCCGGCCCGGCGGATCTCGATAGAACGCATCGCTGCGCCCGACGGCTCGCCTCGGGCAGCCCTCTGCAGGCTACCGTGACCATCGCTGGCCGCCTCGTCGCTATTGTCGCGACTCACTGCTGCCGCATCTCCATATATGTTAATGTTCTCAGGCTGTCAAGGCCCCACATCTGTCCGATGATGCGACATAATGACAAGGCTTGCGCTGCGCCTACATCTGCCCACCTCGGCTTCCGAGACGTCGCGCCCCACCGGCACGCCAACTAGTATACAGACTTGAGCGTTCCTATAAAAGTGTATGACGTTCTGACCATCGCAGCAACTCTTCGTCCCCCGTCCCAAGAATGCCTACCTACGCTGTTGTTGGTGGTTCCCGCGGAGTCGGCCTGGAGATCGTTCGCCAGCTGGTATGTGCCGCTATACCTGGTCGACTCTTTACTGAGGAGCTCTGCAGGCGGCGGATCCGCAGAACACCGTCTTCGCTACTGCGCGGGACACAGAGAGATCAGTGCACTTGGCCAAAGTCGCGAAGGAGGCACCGGCAGAGAACGTCGTGGTCCTCCAAGCGGACGTTGTGGACCATCGCTCGCTAAAGGTCAGTTCTCATGCATCGTTGCGGCGGCATGAAGTACCAATGGATAGACAGGCTGCGGCGGAGCAAGTCGCGCAGGCTACGGGCGGCTCACTCGACGTGCTCATCCACAACGCAGCGAAGATGGACTACGCGGGTGGGAATTTGTCTCGTACGCTGACCGAGTAGTACGTCCATTGTTGTGGGCTTTCAATGTATCAATGTATGCTGATGATCGGCCTTGCAGCGAGAGCATGGACGCCTTGGACGCGGAATTCATCGAAGCGGTACGTCCCCCCTGCGCACTGCCTCCATTGCACTCACACACGGCCAGTTCAAAGTCAACACCCTCGGCGCGGTCCACTCCGTCGACGCATTCCTGCCCCTGCTCCGAGCAGGCGTGGCGAAGAAGATCATCGTCATCAGCACGGGCGGGGGCGAGCGCGACGTCGTGTGGAAGAGCCGCCTGATCGGGACCGCCGCGTACGGCGTCACGAAGTGCGCGGAGAACATGGTCATGACCAAGTACGCCGCGGAGCTCGCGGACGAGGGCTTCGTCGTCGCCGCGATCAGCCCCGGGAACGTCGACGTCTCGCGCACGGCGCCTTCTCCGCGTGAGCCGCCTTTGGAGTGTCTCGATATCGTCGCTGACTCGAGTGGCTGGCAACGTAGCGAGTGCGGCGGAGCTCGCGGACCTCAAGCGCGTTATGGACCGCGTCCGGAAGCAGATACCGAACTACCCTGACAAGGCACTCACGCCGGAGCAGTCGGTAAAGAAGGTGCTGGAGATCGTTGACGCACTGGGACCCGAGGACGCAGCGAGCTTCCGCGCCGTATGGGACTGACGTCTGGCCAGGCCTCGTAGTCTGAACCACACTGAGGATGGCTCACACTTTGACGGGCTCCAGTGACCACTGCAACCGTCTCCGCACAGGCGGTTGACACTCGTGTAAGTACATTGTATAACATACTTGATCCTACACAGGCGGGAAATGGTCCTGCTACTGCAATCTCCAGCGTTCCTCTACAGATTGTTCATGTCCAACTCCGGATGTGGTCTGAAAGTACGAGACTCAGCAGGCCCGATCTTCTCGATGTCAGCCCAGGAGCCGCTCCACAGCCTGCTGAGGCGTGATCAGCGCGTGCAGCCTCGGAAAAGCCACCCAGTGCTTCTCCGCGAAGACGTTAAACTTCGCAGCGTTCGCTTCCGACGCTGCAACGCCCAAGCTGGCCGGGCAGCACCGAATTCTCTCACAAGGGCAAGGAGGGACGACGTACGCGGCTCGGTCTGGGTGCTGGAAACGTCCACGAAGCCCGGGCCCACGGTCACGACGGTGAAGCCCTCGTTCCCGGCGAGCGCAAAGTAATGGACCCGCTGGGGTGGACTTGTCCACGTGGACTCCGCGGAGCTGGACTGACCAAACAATGACGCCGATAATGAGCTGATTAGATTCGCACGCGAGTGGCGCCGGCGCGGGCGCCGGTCGTGTACCTTGCGACTAAGGAATGTTTTCTCGTGCTTGCTCTTCCAGCTTCCAGGTCGAAATGGCCGCCGGGCGGGGGCGGCTGGGCTTGTTCAACCTGTACGTGGCATTGTCACGCAGTTCGGGACGTCAAACTATTCATATATTGCGGGAGTTTGATGACCATGTATTCCAAGGCGCTCATGATGAGTACCAGTACCTACTACAGGAGGACAACCGGTTGGAGAGGAGGAGGTGAGACAAAAATGCATGGGCAAATGTTTGTGGTGTACAACACATAGAGTAGAGTAGTAGCTATGACAAATTATGTATGGAGAACATCAGGTGCGCGAGAAGTGAGAGTAGTCAATTATCAAAAGGTGGAGGAATGCATCGAGAGGGAGAAGAGGGAATACGGCAGCCTGCACCGGAGCATACACTCAAGTTCGTGTCTTGTGTACATCGCCGGATTGATGGAGGATGGCAGCGAAAGTGACATGAAAGACGGACTGACATCCTCGGATACGCATACACTAACAAGCTCACCTTCTATTCCATTGCCGAGCACAATCTCCATGCCCTCCGCTCGAACCATGAGTGCAGGTCCATTCGCCATCACTGTCAGGATGAAGAGAGAGCTGCTAGGTGAGGCGTCATTGCACTGAAGATACTGAATATCTGTAGAATAGCGAGGCACATGTCAGCACTCGGAAATCGGATTCCCAGAGTATTGATTCGGTGTACCATCAACTCTTCAAACAGCAGGGACGTGCACATGCGCCGTGCCCTCCTCCACAAACGCGCCCTTCACCGCCTTCAGCATATCCGCCACCTTCGCCCCCCGCTCAATAGTCACCAACAGCCCGTGCTCCTTCACCTGTCCATCCTCCGTCTCGTGGTATGGCCCCGGTAGGCCTTCAGGGTACACCCAGAACACGAGGCTCTTGAGCGTGCGGTCCTCCGCGTCCAGCCACCTCTCGACGCCGCGGATGTGCTCCTCGACGCCGCGGAAGTTCGAGCCGGGCCCGCTGGCAACCGTGGTGAGCGTGCCTGTGGCGAGGATGGCGGCGAGAAGCGGGCGTGCATGAGGTCCCAGTTGAGCGTGCCGTGTCATAGGGCCATGGTCATGTCTCTTGCTCTACTGGGATAGGGGCCTGCGGCGGTGTTGCAGTGGTTGCAGACATCTGTTCGCGTAGCATTCAGTGTTCGTTGTGCATGAAAATAGTGTATTATATTGCTAATATTAGGCCATCACGAGAGTCGCACTCATGTAAGGCTACTCACTGCTCGCGCAGACCTTATTCCTCTGGTACTGAACCAATGGCTCCCACGATGGTCTACGCGATGATCTACATCTTCATAGGGCAGTAAAGAGCTCATGTACACCTTTTTTCGTCGACAGTTCGGTATGGGGAGCCTCAGCCTGAGGGCGGTAGCATGGCTAAGCGCTGTCTGTCCGGATTTGGAGGTGGAACAAACAAGGCCAAAAAAACCGGAAATTTCCCACGACGAATTCAGACCCCCGAAGAGACCTTGCTAGTCGCAAGGTAATTATATAGTCTACTGACTGATTGTAAACCGTTATTACTGCCCTATTGTCACTGATCACAATGTTTCTTACTAGTAGTCTGACCAACTGTTTCGTGATATGCAGCGAAGCGCATTAAGCCGTGTACACATTTTCGCGTCGACGGGTACAAGTAGATACCGTAATGAAGTAGCCTAATGTATTCTAGTGATGTTGGTCCCAAATCAGCATGCTATGACGTGAGTATGACTCGGATGATCCGCGAAATTGCTAACAGTGAGGGCAGGCGGTAGGCTCACGGCGGGCGAGCAGGCGAGGGGGCGGGTGTGCCGGACAGGGGTGCAGGTGCTGTGCGAGCGGGCAGGTGCATGAGCGAGCGGATGGGCGAGCGTGTGCAGACCGGCAAGTGCATGGGCGAGCACGCAGACAGGCAGGGCAGTAATGGGCCATGATGGGCAGCAGCGGATGCTGCTCGTCGTGTGTGGGCACCACAAACGACCATATGGCAGGCTGCCGGTGATGCGCTCGTGTCCTCGTACGCGTCGAGAGCGGTTGTTGGCGCGACAGACCAGGCTTGTGGGCGTGTTTGCGCATGGCGGGCACATGGCGAGCGCCTGTATGGCGGAGGCGGATGGACATCCGCCAGCGCGCGCATGACGCGAGGGGTTCATTGACCTCGCCGGTTTGTCACGGTCGCGTGGGCTGGCAGGTGGTCGCGTGGGCTGGCAGGTGGTCGCGTGGGCTGGCAAGTGGCCGAGTGGATGAGTGGGCGGGTGAGCGGGTGAGCGAAAGCAGGTGGGTGCCCAAGTGCCCGAGCATACGAGTGAGCGGGGTCGATGTAGATGGCTGTGATTGCTCGGTAAGCCCTTATGTATGTGCTGTGCGAGTGCACGTACCAGCGTGCCTGGCAGACCCTTGTTCATCGCGGTCCTGCTCGCTGAGTTGGGTCTTGGGCATGCCGTGTCGGTATGCGGCGAGCTGGCCCTCGCCGTACCCGAATGCGTCTGCGCGTGATACTATATCCCATCCACAAGCAACCGGCTCTTGCTAGCGGGTCCGCGCGCGGCATGTTGAGGCTCGTTGAGTCGTGAGGCGCATACCTGGTGAGTTTGCGCTGGCGGGCTTGTGTCGCTTGCGCACGCGCGCATCGGAGTCGTCTTCACCGCGCTCATGCGCATTGGGCATGCGCGCGAGCGGCGCTGGGGCCGTCTCCGTCGCGTTCGTCTCCGTCCGGTCGTCCTTGGTGGGCATTAATCGCTTGTCAGGGTCAGCTACCGGGTCGAGGTGACAAGCAGGGAACTCACCTGGTTTGTTGACCCTGCTGACTACAACCACCTTCCCTCCCTGCACGACCATTCTTTGCGAGCCTCCACCGATGCCCCTGGCACGTTGTTAGAGCTCGTTGCATTTGTGTACGGCGCGGTCCCGGGTCTTGAGGCTACCTTGCGCCGTAAAAGGCTGTAATCTTATCGCCTTTGTTTGGACTCGTCACGTGCTTCGTGGAGTCCACGGGAGTCCACCGTGGACAGTCCACCCCAGCGGACGGCTTGTTCTCGGCGAGCGCAACGGCGTGCTTCGTCGTGTTCCGCGGCCTTTGTTACCGCGTACGCGCTAGTAGAATCCCCACTATCGGGCAACCGTACATACTAGCCCCTGGATTGTCGCTGGAACCCGGCGAGACGTTACTCGATCGTACTATTACTAGTAGCCGCCAATGGCTTCGCGAATACCACGACTCTAACTTATCGGGATTTCAAAATCCGGTTCGAGCAATGAATTAATGAGGACAGCCGTGGCGGCCACCGTGAGGCGGAGGACTGTAGTAGATGCTGTGTCATGTCGCCAGGCTTGCTGGACAGGTCGTTGCGGTCGGTGGGGTGTAAGTAGGCGGACGGTGATTGGACGGCGGGTGCTTCGGTGAATGCCGCTCTGTGTGGTCCTAGATCCTTACACAGATCTCGCCGATCACAGTTTGAATCTCAAATTCACGACCTCTCCTCTCCCAAGGGCGACCCCGGCCCAGTGCCGACGTGTATACACCTGTACTTGTACAAAACGAGCCACACATTGTACCAAACACCAGACAGCGCAATGGAAAGCATCCCCCAGTCGGACCACAACATCGACGACGAAGATGCATGGGACGACGACTCCGAGGACGACATCGAGGCCGAAGCGGAGCAGATGGCCCGTCGGCTCCAGGACCAACTCAGAGCAGATATCGAGCGAGCGCAGCAGGAGGCGAGGGCCCAGACAACTGCCACCCAACAGGCGAGTCAAACGGTGTCTGCTCTAGGACTCGCACCCGCACCATCTTCGACACAACAACCTGTTGCTGGCCCGTCTACCTTAAGAAACACATATAGCTCTGAGCAACTTGCACACGGAAACGCCCCTGGAACTGCCCGCGAGAGAAGGAGCGCCGCCGCCATCCTCACCATGAAAGCCATCCTCGCCTCGGCCGAGAAGAACCCGCTGGTGCGCTCTACGCTCGCCGCATCCACTATACCCGGCGTGGACCACCACAGCGTGCTAGACATCTTCACCCAATGCATCTCCTGCAGACAAGTGACCAAGGCCGTCGCGAGGCACCTGCGCGAGGCCGTCATCGCGCTCGCACAGTCCTCGCTGCTCTTCGCGTCCCTCCGCAACTCGGACGCGCCCGCCATCCAGCTCGACAAGGGCAAGCGCAGGTGGGACGCCGCAGACGGCCCCGGCGGCGCGCTCGACGACGCGCCTCCCCCCAAGCGCGCCGCGACCGCGACGGAGCAGCCAGACCTGCGCCACCAGGTCTCCGAGGCGGCCGCGCTCATCACCGACGCGCTCGCCCCCCTCGCCGCGAGCCCGGCGCCCATCATCCACCCCCACCTCATCGCCTCCATCCACCTCCCGCTTCACCAAGCCTTCCTCTTCGCGTCCACGTCCGCCCCGCGCGCAGACGGCCCGCGCGCCGCCGCCCTCGAAGAGCTCGCGGGGCTGATCCAGATGCTCGGCGTGCTCAGCGGGGTCCCGATCGGCGCGCAGCCGTCCGAGTCCACCGCGCAGCCCGGGCTCGGGACGGCGGTGTACCCGTGCGCGACGTGCGCGAAGACGTTCACGCGGCTCTTCTCGCTGAAGGCGCACCGGCGCGCGCACCTGCTCGGCGCGCGGCCGTTCCGGTGCGACGCGCCCGCGTGCGTCGCGAGCTTCGCGCGGAGCCACGACCTCAAGCGCCACGCGCGCCTGCACGAGCGCACCGCGTACAGGTGCCGCGGGTGCGCGAAGGTGTTCAGCCGCCGCGACGCGATCAAGCGCCACCAGGACAACCGCCGCGGCAGGGACGGCGGTGCGGGCGCGTACGGCGCGGAGAGCGCGTGTGCGTACGCGGAGGTCGAGGAGGTCGAGGTGGACCGCCCGGAGAGCGGGGAGGACGCGGTGCGCCGCGCGAAGATGTGGGACGGCATCGCGGCAGGCTCCGTGCAGGCGGGCGTGCCCCCGCCGGTGTATGCGGGCCAGGCGTCGCGCGGGGACGCGGGCGGGGACGACGTCCCGGAGGAGGGCGAGGTGCACCCGAGCGTCGTGCTGGCCGCGCAGGCGGCCGTGCTGGGCCTGCACCCGCTCCTGCATGACTACGTGACGAGGGTGCTCGGACACGCGCCGGTGCTACAGAAGCCTACCCAGCTGTCGTTCGGGCAACCATCCGCGGCGGCGCCCCCGCCGGCTCACGAGCCGACGCTCGCGAGCATCATCGCGGACGCGGGCGAGGGGCATGCGGCGCCTGCGGCAGAGGCGACGCATGCGGCGTCGTCGGCGCTCTCGAGCGCGCTCGCGCTGTCTGAGGAGCAGACGCGGCTGCTCGAGCAGGCGATCGCGCAGGCGGCGTTGGCGGCGCAGGCGCAAGCGGAGGCGGAGGCGGCGCTCGAGGAGGAGGATGAGGGCACGGGTGACGAGGAGGACGAGGAGGATGGTTGAGCGAGGGGCGTGTATACTTATCTAGGATTTTTACACTTTCGCCGGGGGACCGCGTGTTGCACACCTGATTTTACCTGGTGCGCGAGACTGCACAGTTCAAAACGGGCAAGACTCAGTGTATGATACATGAACGCACGATCCTGCGGGTCACCCAATGAGGTATATGCAGTCAGCACTAGTTTGGTCTAGTGCACTATATGGGAATTTTGCATTTTCGCTGGAGGACGGCTCGTTGCGTACCTGGGTCTACCTGATGGGAACTCGGGCCTGAAGCAGCACAGTTTGATCGTGAATGCATGTGGCAAGACCTCAGTGTATGGTACATGGACGCACGGCCCTGCGGGTCCGGTGAGGTAGATGCAGCAGCGTCTGTTCTATTCGCACTTCTCATGTCCGTCGAGCATCAGGTACCAGCCCCGGCTAACGCGATGGATGCACGTCCGTTCACGCGTCGTCGTCGCTGCCTCCGAACACCAAGTCGCCATCGTCAAAGTCCTCTTCGTCGGAGGGCGGCCTGCGCTCCGCACCCTGCAGGATGTTATGCCTATGCACGCCGCAGTGTGAGCAACTACCGCGAAGAGCACACGGCGCGACACACCTCCTGAGCAGGTCTTCCACGCCCGTCTTCGCCTCCCAGTCCACCCGCACCCACGTATGCTCGAGCGCGCCGCCGCGGTACACCAGGAGCGTCGGCAGGACGTCCGTGTCGACGTTGTCGTCGTCCCACCCGGCGTCGCCGTCCCCGTCGCTGTCGTTCTCGTCGCCGTATGGGTCGTCTTCGTCGTCGTCGTTGTGGCTGGAATACCGCCCGGGGACGAGGATCTGGCGCGAGGGCCGCCGGGTGATGGGGAAGGGCGCGAGGTGCGTGGCGCGCGGAGACGTGGTGGGGCGTGCGGTGGCGAAGCCGATCGCGCCCGCGCGCGCGTGGAGGAACTTCGTGGAGGGGTGTGCGCGCGCGAGGCGCGAGAGGGTCTCGTCGAGGGTGGCGCAGCGGTCAAGACTCTAGGGCAGCCGGGTCAGCACTCGTTTCCGAAGGGGCAGGAAGAAGGCGCACCGGGTCGTAGATGTGGACGAGGACCCACGTGCTGCGGTCCTCGTCGAGCGCGCGGTCGAAGCTGCGCACGCCGACCTCCATGAGGTGCCCGAACCTGCCCGCGCGCGGGCGGCCGTCGACGACGGCGCCCGCCTTGCCCTCGAGGCGCGCGAGCTCCGCGGCGCGCGCGCGCTCCTCCTCCGCCCACGTCTGCCCGCCGAGGCTCGCGCCCTCCATCGCTCGGTTCAGCGCGCGGATCTCCTCCGTGCGCCGCGAGCGCGCGAGGGCGGCGGCCTCGGCGTGGTCGCGGATGACGCCCTTCACGCCGGTGCGTCCGGGGCCCATGCCGATGGACTCGTGCTCGGCGGCGCGCGAGGCGAGCGCGCGGCGCGGCTCGGCGTCGGAGTCGTAGTCGTAGTCGTGGCCGTCGGTGGGCCACTGGGCGGGGGACGGGGAGCGGGAGCGGACGGGGGAGGAGGAGCGGGAGGGCGGGTTGAAGAGCTTGCCGGAGAGGACGAGCTCCTCGAGCTTGTCGCCGTTCTGTGCTGTCTGTGTTCATGCCTCGTCTGTAGTCGAGCAGGGCGGCTTACCATGGTGGCGGTGAGGCTGGTGCGCAGATGCTCTTCTGGGGGACTGGCTCGAGGGCAGCAGAGCGAGTACACGTACTAGGCGTTGGAATGGGCTTGGTGCGGACGGTCCGCGGCAGAGCTTCGAAGGTGCGGTGGCGCTAGCACGAGCGATCGCGCAACCCTAACCCGAGAGCTAACCCTATCATGTTGCTCAGATCCCGTCATGCCATCTCTCTTTCGTCCCATATTACTCAGGATATTCGGAGAGTGCATCGCCCGCAATGGGGTGCCGGTGATTTCTGCGTATCACGGTGGCTGCGGGCCCACTGTGAAGCGACAAGGCATGGGATTACTAGTCTCCTTTGCTGACCAAAAAGAGATACTCACGTTTTTGGTCTGCAGCGTGATGCGTCGTCCATAGCGACTATACTTTTGAGCATCTAGGCAGGTGGGTGTGGGCATTGCATGGAACTGTTCCTAGTGGTGTGACCGACCTAGTCGGACGGGCTCACCCTACTCCCGACCGCAAAATCGTGCACTGTGCTCTACTCAGTGAGTCTAAACTGTTCTAACGTTTTTCCTGTGTTCTGTGGATATTTTAGCATTGCTTCACACACACCCTGAGGTACATACAGTGTATATCTGTGCATATACAGCGAGGAAGGGTCATCGAGTGCTAAGGTGGCCGAGATCCCGGCCCGATATAGTATGGGATTACGAATAAGGAAGGTGACGCTATGAACGAAAAAGGAAGGTGTCGGCCGTTTGTCCGACCGTGCCCGTTCCGCTGAGCTCATCGTGCAACTCTCCCCCCGACTCCCACCTCCTCTTCCTCGACGCTTGCGTCGCACTCCCCCTTTTTTCCAACCATGTTGCAGGCCTCTAGACGAGTACGCTGCTGCTCTCGCGTAACCTCGCCCGACCGCTGACAAACGTACGTGCAAATCAGGTCGTAACTCGACGTGTACCTCGGACCGCATCCGCGCTCCAGGTCGGTCGCTG